ATTACATCTGTTGAGTGATTAGATTTGAACCTATTTCATGTGTTGTGTTATGCGATGTCTCCTCATTTATAAATGGTTCGACAAATCAAACACTCTTTAACTACACTACCATGCAATACATCAAATGGCGAAAGAGGTGGCTCATTGCATCAAAGATTTCTTAAATATTTTTGTCCCATAAATATATCCGAACAACATTAGGTATGGTTATAATTTCTATTCGATCTTAAAACCTGTTGTACAATGTTGTATGTCATTTTCCTCAAACTTTGGACTGATCTATTCTTATTTTAATAACTGCAGGACGATGAGTTCCAAATATTAAGGGAAGTCCGAGAAAGTGATGTGTCGGTGCGGACTACCATCCTTGCTACTCACGTCACGTAAGACACATAGCTTTGGAAGGCAATTTTATAGGTGCCCAAGGTGGGCACAACGACAGGAGGACTGCAGTTTCTTCAGGTGGGCCGACAGAGAGTCTATTTCTATGATATCCCAGAAGGATACCCCAGATCAGAGTTCGTCGATATCAACATTTCAGAACACTGCATCTGCTTCGAGTGCTTTCATTTCTACGGTATCCCAGTCGAACAGATTTGCTCAGGGTTCTGTAGTTTCAGAGTCATATGGCATGGGTCGTGATATGCTGCTACATTATAAAGTTAACATTATCATATTTTTACTTGTCATTTTAACATGTTATTTTTTTTTATGGGTGCTCATTATACTTTGTAGTAGTATGTGCATGTGCATTTGACTTTTGTATGTGTAACATATTCGTTTGATGTGATCGGATATGTTTTAGTTATATAAATATAAATCAACTTTTTGGTATTTTCTTGTCTGAAAAGTGATCTTTAATTTTGTTGAGAAAAGAACAAATTCCGCTGCACAGATTATTCATTTAATTAAATTTTTTTTTCCAAATAAGCTGTTTACAAAACGCACTAACCAAACAGCTAAACTGTTTATTCAGAACAGGGGCAGAATGGACAATTTTTCAGAATCAGCTGTTTTTCATAAGCGTCAACCAAACAGCCAGACATCTTATCTGGATCAGCTGCTCATCAGCAGATTATCAGGATAAGCTGTTTATCAGCAGAAGTTGGATAAGCTGCAGCTGCCCCAAACAGACCCTAAATCACCTTCTTGCAGTTTAATATAATAAATTTATCCATTCTAACTGAGAATCTGACATTCATTTGCAAAATTTGCTAAATATATTTGACCTTCAATTTGCATAGGCCTGCAAGGAATTCTAACAGAAATTCATTTAAAAAAAGAAAAATCTCAGTGTGCGTGCACTTATAAATTATAATAATGATTAGCCTATATATTTTATCCTCTATGCATAAAGATATAGTTAACAAGGTATATAATGCGGTGAAGTTTCAAACAAATCCAAATTATATGCAAATCACAAATTTGATCCTTTATAGGCAAGTCAGTAGAGTAAGTAGATCCAAAAAAACAGCAACAACAACAACAGGCCTTTATCCCACTAAGTGGGGTCGGCTAAATGAATCATTTTTTTCCATTGTGTCCTATTGGAGTGTCAAATTTTCATTTTCATTTAATTCTAATAGATTAAGATAATTTTTTATACAATATGCCCAAGTTCTTTTAGGTCTACACTTGCCTTTCTTAACATAAGTCGAATCTAAAACATCCACTCTCCTAACCGGATCATCGGATGGTCGAAGTTTAATGTGACCAAACAATCTAAGACAAGTCTCTCGAATCTTCTCCACCACTTGACAACAACCCTATCATGGTATATTCATTTCGCATTTTGTCTCTAAGTGTCAATCCACTCATCCACCTATCCACTCATCCACAATCCACTCATCCACCTAAGCATTCTCATCTCAACAACACTTAACTTTGTTTTATGCTTCTCTTCTAAAGACAAACATTCTACGTCATAGAGCATTGCAGGTATCACCATCTCATAAAATTTTCGTTTCAGTCTAAGCAATACTTCTCAATCACAAAATAAATCTAATGCATTCCTCCACTTCAACCAACCAACTTGAATTCTACTAATAACATCCCACTCTATATCACCATCACTTTGAATAATAGACCTGAGATATCTAAAACGTTCACACATTTTAATGATTTAATGATTTATGATTTGATCACCCATAGTTACATTCTGTCACTAGAGCTATTACTACTAAAATCACATTCCATATATTCAGTTTATTCAGTTTTAGATTTACTCAAACAAAGGCTTTTAGACTCCAATGTAGACCTCCATAGTTCATGTTTTTTTCTGAACTCTTTCTCTTATCTTATTTACGAGAAGGATTTCATCAGCGAAAAGCATACACCAAGGCACATCCTCCTGTAAATGTCTAGTAAGAGCATCTATAACTAAAGCAAAAAGATATGGGCTTAAAGCTAATTACTGATGTAATCCAACTAAATAAGAAAATACTTGGCTAATCCTCCTGTTTGAACACAAGTAACGACTCTAGTACACATATCTTTAATGACTTGAATATAAGTAATATCACCACATTTCTTCTCTATAACTCTTCAAATGACTTCTCTTGAAACCTTATCGTAAGTTTTTTTTTTTAAATCAACCAAAAATCATATATAGATCCTCCTTATTCTCTCTGTACTTCTCCATCAAACCTCTCAATAAATGTATAGCTTCCAAGGTAGACCTACCCGGCATAAATCCAAACTAATTATGAGAAATTTTTGTATCACGTATTAACCTGTGTTCAATTACTCTCTCACATAATTTTAAAGTATGTCACATTAAATTAATTTCTCTATAATTTGCACACTCTTGTGCATCCCCTTTATTTTTAAAAATGGGGACCAAAATACTCTTCCCCAACTCCTAAGGCATCATTTTTGTTTTTAAAATAATATTAAAGAGTTTAGTAAGCCAAGAAACTCCCAAAGATTCTAAATGTTTCCACACTTGGGATATCATCAAGTCTTACTGATTTTCTACCCTTGATTTTCTTCAAAGCCAGATCAACTTCATTTTTACTAATACGACGGTAAAAGTAAAACATTTTCTTATTATTAACGATATTAAAATTACGATTATGTTCTCAGAAACTTCATAAAAAAATTTATCAAAATAAATCGCCCACCTATGTTAATAATTTTCCTCAAAGAAAAGTATTATTTTTATTTTCATCTTTACTACACTTTACTAGAATTAAATCTTTACTTTTATGTTCTCTTTGTTTGGCTTGTTTATAAAAATTTTTCAAACTCTTTAGTATTTAATCTATTGTAAAGATCACTAAAAAAGGAATTTTTAATGTCACAAATTGTTCTCTTAAACTTCGTACGGGTCATCTTATGTTTTTCTCAATTTTCCAAGCTTTTACATTTAAATCAATTTTTATAGCACAACTCCTTATATTTTATCTTTTCTTGCACATTATTATAGATTCAAAATAACAAAATAAGATAAATTAAAACACATCAATAATAAATGTGTTAAAAATAAATTTTAACTGAAGAATAATATCATCGAAACAGCTCAAATCTTAATTCAAATCATTTTGGAATCAAATCCCAAAAAAAGGAAAAACCCAAAAAAAATTGCATATACTAAAAAGACATTTACATACATACCACCCAATTCCTATGTATTTACATATCTAACACTTAAACTTTGTTTTTTACATTTCTACCAGCCAAATCTTTCATATCACATAAAGAATATAACAATGTTAACTTTTAAAAAGTGAAATGCATACTTTCATGCATAGGTAAAGAGCAAATATGCAAAAATTGAAGTTTAGGTGTTAAAAATGTAAATATATAGGAATTCAGTGGTATGCATGTAAATCTTCCAAACTAAAAAAAATCAAGTGAACTCTATTGTCTTAAGTTTAAAGCAATAATCATCCATCCTCTGTAATAGTATGTCAAAGGGGATAAATTAAATATTAAAAGCTCACAAAGAGTAAATGTCAGTTCAACCTCTAGCATCACTTTCAAAACTCTCTAGTTAATAAGGATGCAGCAAAGGTCCTGAAAGGGTCAATGAGTTTTGGGCCCCCTTCATCCTCAATTTAGCTTTTGGTAGAAAACTGAAGCTCTACCTTGCCAATTTATACCAACTTTTATCCTATTTTCCATTAAAATTTATCTCAAATTCCTAAACATTTCTTTGTATATTGAGGAAATTTTTTATTTTTCATATTTATAATTTTTTATAATGTATTCCTCAATTATTAATTTTCAAAAGTAAAAAACTCAAGGAGCTTGGGCCCAAACCATGATAGGCAAAATACCTCACCTTTTCAAAAATCGGCTCTTATTAACATATAAATGAAAATTAAAAAACTGAGATCTTAATTATAAATCAACAAATAAAAGCAGATATGGTCCACCCGGTGATCCACATGTCATAGGATGGAAGGAATAGACCAGCAGAAGCTCGTTTGTTTGTTCAAAGAAAGATACCTATGGTAACTTTCTCCCTACTTTATAATTATCATTTTTCTTATGACTAGAGAAACAATCCAACTATTCTTTCTTTCCATCCTACCATATATGCAAACTGACCTATCAACTAGCTACCTGTATTACACACAATACATAGTTTACAGCTGCATGAAAGCCAACGTGCAAGGCTCCAAAACTCAACAAAGGCACGCTTTAAATACTACTAAACCACCGTATCAGCTGAAAAGTCCAATACCTGTAGAAAAAAAATAAATAAATAAAAGAATACCCGTTCCCAAGTTCCTATATCTGCCATCCATATTTATAGACGTCACTGAAACTAATGTTCAACGAAGGCCCCCGTAGAGAGTTCAATTTTATAAGTTTTCAATAAATTCCGGAGAGCAAAATAACAGGAGTTGTTGCAAGATTTCGAAATGCTTTAAATTGTAATCAGCCCTGATTGAAAGACGATAAAAAGGAGACGAATAGGCCAGCGATTCCATGCGTTCTAGTACAATCAGAGCATGGATAGACGAGGGTTTGAAACACAGAAGAGTACGTACCTTCCGCGTTGGAAATTTCTGCAGGGTTCCCGTCTTCGCATCATAGATTAAGTAAAATCGATCTACTGGAATCCCCAATCAGACCAGCAAACTAGTTTTGTAGGGCGTCTTTGCCAGTTGGTGGTCGGTAGGGCGGGCGCCGATTTGAAACTAATGAGGAGCCGAGGTTACAGCAGAGGAGAAAGTAGAGATGACGGAGAGCTGCCTGGAAAAGGGCGGGGTGGGTTTTAGATATCTGCCGCCTAAAACTATAGGTACAATGGGTTCCCATCCAAACTTCAAAATTTATATTTCAACCACCTTAAAATCGCAACAATTTTAACCACTCTATTTTAAAATGAAATAAAATTTAAGGTAGTAAAAATATAAATTAAAATTTAGATGATCAAAATATTATATTTAAATTTCAAATAATTGTTATTTAAATGCCTCTTAAAAATCTTTGTGCAAGAAAAAATTACCGCACCCAAATTATATATATATATATATATATAACGTGTTTTTATATCAATTGGTAGCATTCACTTCGGCAGTTGTAAGTCCCCTCTAATCAAGGGTTTGATCCCCTCTACACGACTAATGCTATATGGAGGTGGCACTCCAGTGATTAGATGCATGGGTCTAACCCAGACCTGACGGGTTGCGAGCCAGGAATGGTTGGCGGTTCCGCCCGTCAACCATCTTATATATATATATGTATTGGCATATTTCTAATACAACTATTAAAAATTTGTGATTCTATCAATATGTGATCATCCGCGCTCATATGACTATACATTGTTATTTATAAAATTAGCATCCAATCTATTTTTTTTTAATACTGAATTAAACTATTTACATGACTCACGATCAAATTATTGAGAATATGATAAAAATAAAAATTATTAATTAAAATTTAATTGAAACTTTTGAAATTTGAGTGAGAATTTGGAATTAGTTAAAAGAGAATGGTAGTTTTAAAAATATCAATGCTTTAAGAATAGGTCAAAAGCCTTCAGCTAAATTAAATCTGTATTTACATTCTAAAAATTGCATACAATTCTAAAAATTAGAATTCATATTAAACTATTGTACGAATTTTGTGCAAATAGATAAAATATTCACGCTTTATTCAAAAAAACATGAACTCCAAAATTTCATCAAGATTTTGAATACTGGCACGGGAATAAACTATCACAACTACTCAATTAGAGTTTTGTTATACCTATAAATATTCACCAAAGCCTATATATATTCATGCGAATATGTGATCATTTTGAAAATAAGCTAAGTTATCTTAATAAATAATCAAATATTTATCTCTCTTAATTTTCGCTATATTTCATTTCATTAACAGTTTAGTTAGTTTGGCAACGAAAACTACTATGTACTCTCTAAATACTTTCAAGCCACTTTAAAAGCCAGCCTGAACCATGATTTCAGTTTATCTGTGCATGATAAATATATTGGTAAATTTATATAACTAGCACAAAATTATTTACATATCTCACATCTAAACTTTCATATTTACATGCATAACATTTTGGAACTTCAAACCTATGCATGAAGAAAATGTGTATTTCAATTTTAAAATGTGGTAATACATGAGTGTTGTATGTAACTGTGAAAGTTTAAATGTGAAGCAGACACATATATGCATACTAAATATATTGCTTTAATTATCAAGTAAAGAAAACTTCGAAAACCGATTGATAGAAGCAGACACACTAAGCAAATAATATTATAGAAAAGCTAACAGGTCCAACATCTTACACAAATGATGACAATGAAAATCTAACCAACACTTCGACATATCGATTCAATCAGCGCTGTTTTTCTCCTGCGTCAAACACCTCTGAATGAATAACAGGTTAGCCAAATATGCCAAATGCTAAATAAAAAACAACAGTTCTACTCTCACTGATTCTTTACTAACAGTGCGTCAGTGCCCCCACAAGAATAATACATTTGTGTGCCAACTGCCATTTCAGCTATGATATGTCGTGTGACAGTCGTGTTATGTTTGGGAACAATGTCCGGAAAAACCGCATTATGCTCTTCGTGCATGAGTAGCTAACCTTGAGTTTTCAAATGGATATAACAAGACTTCCAGATTCTGCAATTTTTGTTGCCAAGCAAATGTTGCCAGGACGACAACAAGACGGTAGCAGAAGGGGGGTCCAAGCTTTTATTTCGGTCCTGAGTGCATTAGAAGCAAAAGTCATGAAAAATGATCAACCAAAGTACACGTTCTTAAGAAAGATATCCATATCAAATTCATAACAGAGGTTCATTGACATCGTCAGAATTAGATGATTTATATCATAATTCAGGAAGATGCTATGACAAAAACAATTCATTGTTTTTACTAAGCTGAATTTTTAACAGGTTTGGAAAGTGTTTTAGGAGAAAATTCCTAGGTTAAGCTAAAAGGTATAGGAGAAAAAGAAAATTACAATTGGCCCATGACGCTTCGAACGCATTGCCCATCCAATGATGTAAAAACAAAAGGGGTTACACTACCCTTCTACTTCATCATTTATGAAGATTCATACCTAACTCCACTGACAAAATAGCTAGCACGCACCCAACAACATATTATTCATGATATGGAAAGAAGCAATTGGATAGTGAATGAGTAAAAAATAAAGAATAATAAGCTTCTAGTTTTATTAAGTTGTTCTTATTTAAATTTTATGTACACTTTAAAATGTGAAATAAAAGATAAGAAGTTCTCAGGATGATGGGGTGAAGCTTCAATGGGCCAAAATGCAATATAGAAAAAGCTATTATAGAATCATGTCACTAAGATGGAAAGAACTACTAAAAGTGGACTAAATATTGCGTCTATAAGCAATTATTATAATGTACTTACGAAGTTTCATTCTTAAGAGTAAGTGCTCACTTAAGATTATTGGTCATGGGATTAAAATTTGCCCTAAATAAGAGCCACACAAATAAATGAAATGTAAAAGCATATTAATTTTGCCATGTCAAAGATCAAAAGGATAATTCCTAAAGAGAAATCACTACCAAGTACTTTATGCCATTCTACTTCTTCGGTTCAAATTGAAAATGTTAGTGTTAACATAAGTTCATTTAGGATGAAAGGGTGCAAGCCTAAAAAAGAAGAGGTGTTGCAAACACTCATCTAAAAAAGGTCTTCAATAATCTGCAAACAAGAGGGTAACAAGATGGTAAAATTGCAAGGATATTTTTCAGCTAGCCTTCCTTTTAATCTTGCAAGAAATTTCCCATTATAAAATTGCATTTCTTTTGCGTGCAAAGGGAGAAATCTAATGATGCCAAGTTACTTGAATTTATAGAAGAAACATGAAAAAAAGGGTGAGTTTGACACGTGATGGCTGGACTGGACCACAAAACATATCACATAAATTGTATTGGAGTACCAAAAAATCATCCAATGCTTATTATTGGAAAGTGCCAATCCACATAAGAAATTTATTTCCTTTTTTCCAAATATATTTCACTAATTGTATCCCCTTTATTAGATATTTCATTTTTCTTGTTTTTCTTATTAGGAGGATTCCCATTTGATTTTCTTTCTTTATTAAATATGTATACATAGATTTTCTTTCTTTATTAAATATGTATACATAGCAAAGTGTAATGCATGATTTGAGAGAAATAATTCCTTCAAGAATTCTACATGGTATTAAAGCCATTAAATTGATATCATTTGGTCGCAGTCTTATTCCTCACCGTTGATGAGGACGGATTCATACAAACCTCAGAAGTTGTCGTTTGATGTCATCCTTACGTATGCACACTTGAGGTCATTTTTGCTCTCTGGCACATCATCTGGCTTTTCCGAGTGGTGTCGTTGTTTTGCCTCCTGGATAAGATTGCACTGCTCGTCCCCACTAGTACATTCTGTTAAAACACCTTAATTAATCGTCCACTCTGATTAAACATCACGCTCGTCAGGTTCTTCCATTTGAACGGAAAGTGGAAGTGTCTCCTATGATAGGCACGAGTCAGTCGCTCTCATCCAAGACAAAAAACTTTTGATCGTTGTCTTTCCATGATATTGTTGCCGTTCAAATCCTTCTATTCCTGCATCACAAAGGGTTTAGTCCATCGTCACAGATTTGTTCGAATTCTTAGATTTTATCAGATCGGATCTGTTGAAAGATCTAATTCAAAATTCATAATTCAAAATTCAAAATTCAAATTACAATATTTATTGTCTTTCCTATTCTACAGATATTATTCTCCTTCCTTATTTTTTATCTTGCTTAATTAGTCTTGGAATGTAATAGGAATTTCTTTGAATTTATTTAGTTAGTTTCCTTATCTAAGGAGGAGAGACTCCAATATGTAAATGCACCTTGAATTGAATCATTAAGAAGAAATAAAATTTTCTCTTCAATTTCTGGTTTTACCATCTCATCCTCTCATAACGTTAGTGTTGCTTCCACCTCGAACAATTCAGCTTGCCCTAGCCTCCACATCATGAGTAGCCATCTTGCAAACGGCCAGACCTCTTCTCACCAAATATCAAATGCTTGGAAACTAAGAATGTACATCTCCCTCTAGTTCATGTTCACTCGTCTAGACGAACAATAGAACTAAGGGTCCTCCTCTCATTTTTGTTCCAGCAATTGGTTTTCTTAATTTGAATTTCACAATCTTATAATGATTAAACATAACATGACATCAAAAATTTTTTCCTCGAATGTTAACTCCAGATTCGAGCCTGTCTTTACTCCCTACCGTACTTGAAAACTTGACTCACGTAGTCACGAACCATATATTGCATGGCCACAATTTCCTTCAATGACCGCGGTTTATTTTTATGTACATCTGTGACGCAGGAAAAGGACATCGCACAAGCAAAATTTTAGTTTCGTAGATGACGAATTCAAAACATCGGGTCTGACTAATGACCACATGGTTATTAAATTTCATGACCACAAAAGTTGGAGAAAAATTACTACTCTATAGGACATCCAAAGATATACGAGAGGCTGCAAGTGAAACTTTAGTATTGAAAACATCTCAGAGCTAATTAAGATTGAGACCAAACCACATGATCTGCGACATGGAGATTGAGTGTTATTTAATATTTCACTCTCACTCGTTGGCTGCAGTTCTACATGTATGAGGTTAATTCCTAAAAATAACTTGATGATTTTGCTTGAACCATCAAATTTGACCTTTAACTAAATAAAGATCTAGAAAGTTAGGGGGAAAATCATGGGAATTAAACCCATCCCTATCACTTTGGAATCCTTTGCAGAAGTTTGAAGAGAGAAGAGTAGAAAGAAGTTGATGATGACAAACAATCACACCACACCATCTGTTGAAGGATCTACCTTGTAAACTCAAAATTCCTCTTAGAGTAACAAGCCCAAGAAGGGCGCCCACAGTGCAACTATTGTAAGAAACCTGGTCATGTGAAAGAAAACTGTTAGAAAATACAAGGTAAACCTGCATATTAGAAGCCATCAAATGGAAGATATGAAAGGGAGAACCGTGCAAATATTGTTGTCATAAACAAATAATAATGTGGGATTCAATCCATTCACCAATGAGCAAGTTGAGGCACTGCATAAAATTTTACGTCATGCTTACAGTTATGGACAAGTACCACAATTCTCTACCGAGCAACCGATCAGTCTATTGGCACACCAAGATATCATTTTTCATGCTCTTATTGTTCAAAGAAATAAACTAAAACTTTAAATTGTTGACTTTAGAGCTTCAAATCATATGATGGGAGATTATTATCTTCAAAAACTACAAATCACGCACAAGTTAATCCACAGCTCGAATGGCTGAAGGTTCATTCTCTCCAGTAGCAGGGATCAAATCAGTCGAATTGATAAAGAATCTTAACCTCTACTCTATTTTTATATTCCAAAATTAAAATACAGTTTACTTTAAATCAATAAACTTACTCATGACTTAGAATATCTGACTAAATTTTATTTCAATTCTCCTGATATTCAAGTAATGAATTTGGAGAAGGTAATTAGCAGTGCTGAAATGCATGATGATCTGTGTATGCTTAAAGAAAATAATCGCATCGATAGACAAGTTTGTCCATCAAGTTGTATTTTTGAGTCTAGTTCAGTTAATCTAATTTCTATTTCCAAATCTGCTTTAGTTGGAAGTTAAGTCATGTTAAGGCATTGTAATCTTGGCCATCCAAATTTTGTTTATATTGAAAAAAAATATTATCACATATGTTTATCAATAAAAAACTTTATTTCTATCAATGTAAAACGCGTTAACTTGCAAAACATACCAGACATGTATATTCTAAACTACAATATAAGACTTCAGATTGTTGTGTCACATTGATATCTGAGAACCCTCCCAAATAAAAAATATAAACGAGGCACAATGGTTGGTTTCTATCGTCATAGATAGTCATATTAGAATGACTTCGACATCCTTCATGAAAAAAAAAAAATCTGAAACCGCCAACACATTTCAATCTTTTTAATCCATGATACATAATTCCAAAGAAAAATTGAAGTTCTTAAAACCGATAATGCTAAGGAATGTTTTAATTTCACTCTTGGTCCTTATCTTTTCAAGCATGGAATCATTCATATAAAAACTTGTGTGGATACTTCTCAACAAAATGAAGTCGTTGAGAGAAAGAACATATTTGAGATGGTCGGTGCCATTAAGATTTTTAATTATGTGCTTAAACATATTTGGGAGGTAGCTATACTCAAAACCACATATCTCATCAATAGAATGCCTAGTCATGTTCTAAAAGTTCAAATCCCTCATAATTTTCTCATGGAACCCTATCCACATATTCACTCTTTTTCTTCTGAATTAATATTAAAAGTCTTTGTTAGTTTCATATTTGTTCACATTCACCAACACTGCACCATACTCGCTCCCAAATCTCTCAAATGAATCATCATCGATTGCTTCAACAAAAAAGGATAAATACTACACTCCAATCACTAGGAAAATATACAATTTCATAGATGTCACATTCTTTGAGAATCAATCTTACATTCCCAAATCTAAAATTCAAGGGAAGAACTTGATGGAATATCAAATTTAACATCTTCTCCAAGACACCCAAACTGAATCAAACCCTGTCAATCAACCAACTGAACCAAATCCTACCATTCAACTAGCTCCACTTGAATAACCAAACTCTGTCGCTGAAACTATCCTAATTGTCTCAACTCCACCTCAACTTG